TTCTGATGTGGTCTTTTAAGGTAACTATAAGCACAGCATCTGTGGATTGCTTGCTGAATCTTAACAGGTGGCCCTGTAGGGGTAGAGGCTTGGGCTAAGTTTGGCCTGCAGCTGAACCCCTCTTAGGACTGTGCCACTGGACACCTACTTCACAAATCCATACTAATAAGACCGAGAGACTTAAGAGCTTTGCTTAGTACATAGAAACAGATATGGAAAGGCAGGCAAAATGGGAAGACAAAGAAGCAGAAAACCCTAAATCATTTAGGGTCGAAGGACAGATAAAGAACTTCCTAGACTGAAATAAGCTAAAGGAATTTATTACCACCAAGCCAGTATTACAGGAAATGTTGGAGAGACTTCTTTAAAAATAAAAAAAACATGTATCAAAAACAGGAATAAAGAATGGTAACAACTACATTCCTATAATAAGTACCTTAAATGGAGAAGAATGAAGTGCTCCAACCAAAAGATAGAGTGGCTGAAAGGATAAGAAAACAAGACCACTGCATATGAAAAGGAAGGGCATGGAAAAAGATATTGCTTTGATGGACCTAGAAGGTATTTAAGTCAGACAGAAAAAGATAAACACTATACGATTTCTCTTATATGCAGAATCTAAGGAATAAAAAGAACTAATCAAAAACAGACTCATAAATATAGTGGACAATTTAGTGATGGAAAGAAGAAAGTGGGGTTTGGGGGCCTGGGAGAATGGGTGAAGGGCTAAAGAGGTACAAATTAGTAGCTGATGCACGGTCACAGGGATGAGGAGCACGGCATAGGGAATGCATTTAGCATTAATAAGTTGGCCAGGTGGAGGATCAGGGGAGGGAGGGTGTAACTGTGGGGGGAGGAGGAGTCGTTTTATGAACTATATGGATGTCTAACCAATGTACTGTATACTTGAAACTAAATTAAAAAAATCACAGATATCTCCTGCATTTTCAGTTTCTTGCTTTGCATTTTTAACTCAATTTTAAACATGTTTAATCCCCTCCCATTTTGAAAATATCCTCCTACAATTTTATATCTAGCTACCCTATTTTAACAGCCAAATGTGTATTGTTTTTGAAAAAGTAATTTATACCAGTTATCTCAAAATTCTCAGAGCCACAAAGAAGTTGAGTAAAAATATCAAAAACTGAAAGAGCTTCTTGACATTTTGCTTGATTGCATTACCAAATTTCTTCCTTGAAAGTCTTGGCTTCTAAATACCAAATTTCTTCTGAATTTCCTAAGCAAGTCTTTCTTTGCTTCTTAATGTTGATATTCCTTGGGGTTCTGTCCTTAGTTCTCGTCTCTTTTTATCTCATACACTCTCTGATGGACTTCATTGACATCTGTTGACGTTCTAACACTAAAGTTTATCATTCCCAAGCCTTTATCTCTGACCCGGAACACTACCAAATCATGAAAATCTGGAAGGACATATAAGTACCCCAAATAACTGTAATTCGAGGTAAAATGTGTTAAACATTACAAGGGAGGCTCAGGGGAAAAAAATATGGAAGCCAAATAAGAGGGATCCTGTTCCTGATGAGATCAAGTACAGAGAATGATTTTTGTAGAGGAGGCGAAATTCCCCAAACCTTGACAGATGATAATGTTTTGATAATGAAAATATTTGGCGGCCAGGAATAAGAGAAAAGAAAAATAAGGGAGAGTTTAGCGCCCGTTGGGGAGTAATGAGTAGCCTGGTTTTAACTAAAATTTAACCTGTACAAGGCGATAAGGCTGAATATTTTTTCAATTTGTTGTTAATGAATGCCCATGAATTATCAAAAATGTCTCAGGGAGTTACTGTCACTAAAGTAGTAATACTTTATGTTTCAATTTCCTATTTTAAAAAATTAACAATTTAATATTTTATATATCTCTCTTCCTTAGAATAGGACCATTTGAGAGCTGAGTATCTACAGTGTAGACATGTGTGGCGATTAATGGAGGTTGTATTAGTTTGATAATGATCCCACTCAGCTTTTATCTTATTCATTTTCATATTTTGTTAAAATTATAATCATTAATGGATATTATTTGAAGGCAGTTATTCTAACCAATACTGATGTTGAAATGCAACGAGGCAATGAGGATAAAATTCAATTCAGTATGTCTTCAAGTTCATAACTAAATTCATATATTACATCCATTTGATAAAAATTCTTAAATAGTATATCAATATGTTGCTAATATTTAAAAATAGAATTAAAGAAAAAATTTTAGTGATGATTATAACTCATTTGGCTTCTTTTTTTTTATTAGAAATAAGCCTATACACACCTACATTGTGTTATTTTCAGAAAACGACCTGTAATTAGCAGCCTGAACCTTTCTCTCATAGCTCATTATTTAGAAATAAAACATGTAAGCTATATGAGAAACTATTTTTCAAGGTGTAAAATGCAATAATTCTAAACATCAGGTCCTGATGGCAGTTTTGGTCTCTTTGGGCCATAATGTGTAATTTAATTATCTTAAATCTTTATTGTGAAGTATAGCACATCTACGGGAAATTGGTCTAGGGGCACACACTGTGCATGCCCACGCCAGGAGTGGGAGGTTCAGAGGGAGAAGCTGGGAATTCACGGCCATTGGAGGTCGAAGGGACAAAGGAGAACAAAGAAACTATGGCCCATGAAAACTCAGCGCACTTGATTTTTACTGAGCTTCCCGCTTGGACTTTCCACAAAGTTTACTTTGCCTGCATTACTTAATAAAATCACTTCTGCTTTGCTACTTTTTGTCCATTCTGTCATTCTTCTCTGAGCATTGGAGTTCCATGCAAATCTTTTGTGGGGGTCCAAGGACCCAACCCCTGACTCCCACAAGGCAGACACTCAATTGCCCATGACATTTTCTCTGTGTTTTAGAAAACAGTTTAACACCACACCAAAAAACAATGTAATAAAATAGTCTTAACTTGTCAAGTCAAGCCTTTTCTTAAATAATTTATTTAATCAGCCCCTTCATTTGATAAATGAAAGGAAAAGACAAAATTTTCTACATGTTGTGTGTATCATTAAAATTATAATTACATAATTAGTTATAATGCCATTCTTAACAGTAGACTGACTAAAATAAAATCATTTATTACATAATGTGCAAAAATACTGAAATATTTTTTTAAAAAATCCTAAGAGGAACAAGAAATTATATATTTCTGTTAAGAGGGGTTTGAGGTCATTGATCACTCAAAGGTAGAGGGATACTAATTTATGGCTTCAAATGCCTCCGTAAAGGGATTGAGTGCATGGCAGGGTATTCAGTGTTGTCTTGTTTTAGGAAATCTATGCCTGGGGTGAAATTATCTTCTTTTACAACTGAGATTAAAAGGTAGGATATGGAATCATTTTCATAAACTCCTTGGAAATTTTCCTTTTTACTCTTAAAATTAAAAAAAAAAATCTTTTGGGGCAAAATGGTTGAGGTTTTATAAACTTTAGTAATAAAATAAATAAGTCGTGGAGTGTAATGTATAGCCTGGTGGCTATAGTTAACACCGTATTGCATATTTGAAAGTTGCTAAGAGAATAGATCATAAAAGTTCACATCACAAGAAAAAAATTTGTAACTATATATGGTGATACATGTTAACTAGACTTATTGTGGTGATTATTTCACAATATATATTAATATAAAATCATTATGTTTTACACTTGAAACTAATATAATGTTATGTGTCAATTATACTTCGAATAATAAAAAAGAATCTCTAGCTTACTTGCTAATTTTCCCTAACTATGCTCCATTTTTTCTAAAGTCTCTTTTTTCATTGGAGTAAATTATCCAAATTATTTTAATAAATCAAAAAACCTTAATATTTAATATTTTCTCTTGGAACTTTAGTTTCTTATGTAATTAAAATACATGAAGACAAAAGTTAAAATAAAAAGAAAATTAGGAGAAATGATCACATTCCTGTGAGCAACAAAAATTAGTACATACCTAAAAATAAACATAAAAAGAAATATGTAAATAAAGTTTATATGAATAAAAAAATTCCTTAGTTTTCTAAAGTTGCTGCGATTTTAAGAATTATAGAACCCTTCCCAGAATGGAAAGGAAGAATTAAATTCTAAGGGGCCAAAGTATTTTCTCACCAAGTGGCCTGGTGCTTTGGGGGGAAAGCAGACTAACCCTTGATGTGTGATGCTTTTATCACTCAGAGCTCTGAATCATTTTTCAAAGAGGCCTATATCAGCCAATCAGCAGGCTTCAATTCTGATACTTTCCTCATGCCTTTTACTTAATAAAAATCTCATTTATTATTGTGCAAATTTAGATGTTTTCATTTTTTACATGAGTTCCCATGAGTGAAATTAATCATTTGGTCAAAATATCAAAATCAGTTAATAAAAGAATAGATAATAAACCCAAGAAAGTTCAGATAATCATTCAAATTCTATTTATCTGGAGTCATTTCTGGACTAAATGTAAATAACTTCTGACAACCTAAGAAACTCTGAACATTTTCTTCCATATGAAATTTCCCTAAATAAAGAAGACATAGCTAGAAGCTTAACAGGAACATTTTTCTTTTTAATAATAATTATCTTTATACTACATAGCATGACACACAAGGAATTTGTCTTTTACTGCATGCATTTGGATAATAATTCTGATTACGAATTAAGGTGAGCAATGGAGGGAGGTGGAAAGCTATTTACGACCATATTATTTTAGATCTATTTATGTTATTAATTTTGCTTCTTTTGTCATTTTGCTGACAGTAAACAAGACATTGCCTATTCCTAAAGTGGATTTCAATGTATGAAAGAAGTTGGCCACCTGGCTGCTTGCTGCTTGCTTGGTTTCAGAGCTGAGGCCACCTGAGCTCTCTGAACAATCTTCACCATTGATAGTATGGCCTGAGGATACAGAGATGGATGACAGTGTCTGGTGGACCCTCACTTTCATCCTGAAATAAAGACTGGAGTATCATTTAGACCTTGCCATTTCATGTGCAGCTCAGGCCACAGCAGCCACTTCTGAATTTTCTCTTACTTGGCAATGGCTGGGAAGAAGGAAGAAGCCAGATTTATCTGTGGGACTAAATGTTTTCTCAGGCTTCTCCTCCGTTGTGTCTGTGAAATAAAGGACATGTCAGTTAATAACAGGCATTTCATGACAAACACGATTTTCTAGAGTTAAGGTGCACCACTAATTTTTGCAGAGATTTTAATCCTCCTAGAAATATAGTTATTTACTTAACTATCTTGTGTGCCTCTAGGGTTAAAATATGTTAAAAACAGGAGATGGGGTTCCAGAAGGGTGTGAGTAGAAGAGCAGGAGCTTTGGAATTACTTGACTGGGTGCTTATTCATTCTGGGACCCGACTGCCCAATTTGTAAAGGATTGCTCAAAACAAAACAAAACAAAACAAAACAAAACAAAACAAAAGCTTGCTAGGTTGTTGTAAGGTATAGAGATATTGTATATTAATATCATCAGAGTCCATTGATGATGAAATAAGTGAAAATTGCACAAATGAGAAATAAGTTATTTTGAATTGGATATTTTTGGAAGACATATAAAATGTTAAACTCATTTGGTTTAAATTCAGATCAAGCAGTGTCTGGTTTGTCAATAATATTCAGCCAATATTTACAGCATGCATCAATTTGATCTTATGGTCTATTATAAGGAAGAAGAGAGAAAAAAAAAAGGGAAGAGGAGATGTAGAGAGTTATAAAGTAAAGAAGAATACAGAATGAACCCGAAGGTCAAAGTTCAACCACCTAAAAATCCCTTAGACTTGGACACTCATAGGTCACATGACTGCTCCTCTTCCTCTCTAAGACAAGGTGGGAGACTTAGTTCCCTAGCTCAATCTGCCGAAGAAGAGCCAAGGCAATTTCTTAAGCTGCACTGAGCTTTCCTTAATTTTGTATTCATTTTTTTCCCTTCTCTTACTTCTCTTCCTTCTAACTCATTCATTCTTTCATTCAACTAATGTTCTTTGAGCATCGCTTATGTGTCAGTCTGCTCTACACACTGGAGTTCCAACAGAGAATTAGTCAAATTTCCCACCTTCACGGATCTTGTTTTCTAGTGAGATAGAATCAGTAAAAAAATAAATGAATTCTTATATAATGTAATCTTCGGTAGTGACAGGAACCATGAAGAAAAATTAACCAGGGTGAGGAGATGGAGACTGAAGGGAAGGGAGGGGTCCTCCCATTATTTGTTCATTACTTATAAACTCCCATATGGTCATTCTGACCAGGAGAGGCCCAGCAGCTTACCTATCTCTGAATTACATTGCATTGTATCTAAATGTGCAGGCTCTGAAATCAAACTGCTAGGTTTAAACATTAGCTCTTCTATCTAATTTTAGGATCTTAGATAAATTACTTATCCTCTGTGTGTCAGTTTTCTCAATTGTAAAATGGGGATGATAATCATGACTACCTCGAAGATTAAGTGAAAGACTGCATGTCAAAGTTCAGGATTGTACACTTACTGAAAAACAAATGTTAGCCACTATCATTAGCAATATCCCTCAGTTATAATTTTGTTAACCTAAAAGTAAAAGACCAGAGTGAGAGGCAACAAGCATTTATTTGAGGTCAAAAAGAATAGCTATTCTGGAAGCACTGATTCAGGCAGAAACCCAAACAGTGTTCCGATTAGGAGATGAAGGCCAAGGGAAGTTACGAGAAAGGGAAGGGGAACAATGACATGAAGGAAAGAATTTCTACTGTGTTAATAAACTGCATTATTCTTTAGCTATGCCCGGTAGTGCTAATTCTAAAGAACTCTTCAATTTTTAGTCCTGTAGTCAGGATTTCTGTCAGCTTTAAAAAGTCGTTTAAAATACAGTGTTGGTTTGGCCCAGTTCAAAAGTATTTTTGCTCGGTTCAAACATTCCAAAGGTCCAAGGACTAAGACGTTCAAGAAAGTTCCTCTGGAATGGATGCCCTCGCTCTATTTTAAAATGGCTCCACTTATGTCAGCTTTTCAAAAGCTGAAAACAAGGGGTAGATGAATTCTAAGTACTCTTTTCATGTAAGATAAAATTGTGAGAATTTCTGTTATTTAAATATTCTTTGGAAAAACCATAGAGTATGCTGTCATACATACCCTCTTTTACTTTTGGATGATAAAGGGGGTACGTAGAAGTTCAGCGACAGAAAGTAACCTCCCAGGGTGATCTGATCATAAATTCCTACCTGGGCAGGTCATAGTGGGTAGTCATGCCCAAGGGCTATAATTTCTTTAGCAAAAATTTTTAAAGCAAGCCCTGACCATTGTTCTCCTGCAGGTGGATAAACACACCTTTGAAATGCCAAAAGTCATCCTATCCGCAGATGCCTAGAAGGTAAAACCACCCTCCAGGGAGCAAAAGCTTGTTAACTACCCTGTACCTTGCTTTCTCCTACCTTCTGTATTCATCCTTACAATCTCTTTTTATTTTAAAATGTGTATGTGTATATAAATATATATGTCAAAACTGTCATTCTCTGAAGCATTTGAGACCTTGCTTTTTGGCAATGTCATCAGTTTGGCTCAAATAAAAATTCTGTTCAGGTTTGGCTGTTCTTATATTGACAACTTAATCATCTTTCTATTATTGATTGTTTCTACAATTTTGAAAATGGATTAGACGTCACAAAGTTTACATTCTCACCCTCTCTTCCCACATTTAAACTGAAAACGAACTATAAACTTATGCCCTGATTTATGTTTTCCTATACTATTTTGTAACTTGTTTCATTCTAAAGAGATTTACAAATCATTTGCACGAAAACCATTTAAAGACATCAATACTCGAAATCAGCGTTCTTATTATTTAAAAAGAATAAGTCAAAGAGATTAAGACCACCTGTTCTTGGACTCTGCTCAGAGGAGTTTCTCCCCTCACTACTATGAGCTTCTTGACCGAGAAGTAGCTTCTTGGTGCCCAGCAGAGTGCAAGACATAGTAATATTCAAGGAATTCTATAAATGTTTATTTCACAAAACTGAAATTTGAATACTAGACTTTCTGAGGTAATTTTATACCCAGCTTCTTCGGAGTGCTTTTTATGAAAACAGGCATTTGATGTATACATATTGATTTAATTTCATCCACTATTTTCCAACTTAGCTGTTTGGGTTCTTAAAATTGCAGACAATCTTGCTTAAATCTCTACCAGTTTCCAGATTTTATTGTCATCTTGCTAAGTCTACCAGTTTCTGAAAAGGACCTAATTTTATTTTGAAAACTAGTTTTAACCCCCTGGCCACACTTTTTTCTTCATTAAACCAGAAAGAGAATTTTTAATCATAGCTTTGTAGCACCTTTTCTGTAAGTAAATAGAGACATCGATTCCCTTTGACTTCTTGTGTGGTTAATGACCTACGGGAGCCATTAAGAAAAAAGAAAACATCTACTAAAACAACAGATGTATTAAAAATTCCTTGGTGTTAGAACAAATAATTATTCCATTTTATGATCTCTGATAAAATTAATCATAATAGAATCAATTTCTGAGTGGAGATTATTATGTAGATTAACCATGACTAATTTATAATTTCATTTTTGTCTTCTCCCTGGCATTTAAGACATATTTGGCCACCTTCTTTCTGTCTCTTAGTTTATACTGTTAAACAACAAAATTCAAGTAAATTTGAAGACCTAGCTGGCTTTATTAAATGATTTCCAAATCGAGCAGCATCCCATCTAGTAAATAGAAAGGTGCTCTGAGTAGCTGTATAAAATGGAAGGTTTCTATAGGCAGAAGGAGGGTGGGGCAAAGAGGTTAAAAGAGTGAATTTTTTCAAAGTTGCCTCCCCTTAGGGGAAAGCCAGGGCTCTTATCAGGAAAATGACCTCACTAGTGCTGATCAGGAAATCTCAGACTAATTGATTTAAAAGTCTACTTCTGGGAGAGATTGAAATAGCAGTTAGGTTAAGTATAAAATTTTGGCGGGCCTTAGAGTAAGTGATTCCATTTTGGGTCTGTTTCTTTTAAACAGTACTTAGAAAATGCAAGTTATATTTAACATCAAATAAAGCAAAACAAATAATGCAAATATGGGGCATAAAATATATGAATTATAAAACTCAAAACAAATACTCTTAATTACCTGTTAGTTTTGGATTATTTATACCACTGTTTTATCTATTGCTCAAAAAATTAAAAGCAAATGATATTATTTTTATAAAAACTCTTCCATTGCCAATAATTCTTACTCAAATAATTGGCAGAATTGATGAACAAGAATCATTCATGTTTTCATTAAGTACACAAGCTAACAAAATTATGGTCAAGTTTTCTATATTAAATAAAGCAGCTTTTTATTGTTGTTTTATTTGTTATCTGTTATTCAATTAGGTGCAGACAGAACCATCTCCTTTCTGTTTTTAGTCTGACTTCATTGCATTGCTTATAAAAATGACCATATGTTAGATCTTCGTCTTTATGTTTGATCTATTTTAATGACTAGATGAATGGCCAGAGGTTAAGTTAGGCCCATATAAATGTCCTAGAACTAGTAGAAGAGTGATAGGGTTTGAGTTTTTTAGGTTATATGGTTTAATAGAATAAGCATGAAATTTGGAGTCAGAGCACATCTCAGTTTATCACTTAATTTTTATGTCATCTTTGGCAAGTCACTTGAACTCCCTTTAGGCTCCATTTTTCCCAGTTCTAAGATAGGCATAACATTTTCTTTGTAATTATTGTGAAAATTAAAGGAATCATTTATAAAAACACTATGTAAACTATAAGGAATTGTATGTTAGTTATTCCTATTAATACATGGGAAAAATTCTCCTTGACTTGTCTGGTAAACCAGAAACTACTTGATGTCATGGCCTCATTCTGTAAATACAATAAGATTAAAAAGCAAGGATGGTTATACAGCTCTCAGATATGTTATATTATATTGCCTGAGGTTTAAAACTAGTGGATAAACCTAAGTCTTAACTCTAGTAAAGTTTATTTGTCAGGCTCAGAGGCCCTGTTTGATTTTCTTCTCTGTCTAACAAATTCATGATTTCCAGCTCACTAAGCTAAAACACATGCATCCTGGAATATTTATAAAAAGAGTATGAACCAAGATAATTTTAAGCCCAGAATATTTCTGGGAACACAATAACTAACAATCCAAACAGAAATGGCATATATCATGAATTCTAAGTACCAACTTACTTTTTCATGTTGAACATGACCTCCCTTCTTCTTTCCTGGAATGCCATCTGAAGACTCCCTTTGTACATCTGAACCAATGAGTGGAAGGAATCTTAGACTAGTGGGGCTTGGTACCTAGAAGCCATTAATAAAGAGTTAGTAAGACAAACTAAAGTGATTACTTCTATAATGTGAATTCAGGGGTGGATGATAGGGAGTGAGATGTTCCAATTGCTTTAAAACACACTCCCCTTCCTACTATTGATTCTTAATACTTCACCCACAGCATCATCTGTAGCCTAAGTGTTTGATACTTATTACAATGAACATGTTCTTAGGAAGGAAAAGTAACATTTTAAGAAATAGGTTAAGATGAACTTGAAATATTTGATCTACAGTTTGTTATTCTTGGCTAGTTATGGAGTTCTTTAAATTAACAGAGATTATCTGAAATGGAGATTTGAAAGATGAGTAAGGATTTAGAGGAAAACAAGGGGTAGATGAATTCTAAGCAGAGGGGCAACACAGGCAAAGCCACAGAAGAGGGAGGAATAGTGTGATGCTTAAGGAATAGCAAGCGATTTGGCATTGCTGGAGTATAGTGTATAATGTGGTATAAATGAGGTTATACAGAGGCCAGATCATGAATGTTTTGTAGGCCAGGCTAAAAGCATTTGAATTTTATCATGTAGCTGATAAATTTTGAAATAGTTTCCTATAGTACTGTTCAATGTGGAATGCCAGAGACAAGTGATCAAGGCCATTAATACATAGAACTGAAGACTTCTCTGCATGTTTATGGAAGCATCAGTCAGCTTAGTTATGTGATTTCCTCCAACCTTGCTTGAGAGTCCAGGGTCAGGAAGGAGATGTCAGATTCCTTATTGTTCTTTAACCATTCTAGTCTAGAAATGTTCAACACACCTTATATATCGGCAGAGAACCAAAAATAATCCCCGCTTCTTTGTTTTCAGTCATGAAACCTTCCAAGGCATGTCTTCGAAGCTGTAAAACAGAAGAGTGAATGTTTAATGAAAAGAACACATTCCATAAGTAATAAAATTCTTAGGTTCAAATTCTGGCTCTGTCACTTATTAGCTGCATAACCTTAGGCAAATTTTTGCCCTGTTGACTATTATAAGGATCAAATGAGATAATGTATATGGTAAGGCTGCTACTCAAATATAATAATTATTACCATTGTATTGTTATTGATAACATGTCAAAAATCAATTAGCATAAAAAAGTGAATAGTTAAATATTACATAATTGAGAATAAAAAGGAATGGGCAAAACAAAATTGCTGGTAAAATCAGAGATTCCTAAGTGAAAGGTATTTAAGGTGTGATACGGAGAGGCCATGCCTTGTAATATTTGGGGTATTTAATTGTCTCAAGAGCTTTAAAACCTTTCTAGAGATTTCTCCAAATTTATTTGTTTCAGTTAACAACTTATTTTTTAAAAATTATTTATCTTAAAATTAGAAGAGAATATTAAAAGTGAATACTAATCTTCATTTTCGGATTGTGCTATTTCAATCCTATTCAACAAAATTGAGTATCTGTTACATAGCTATGCATGTATCATTGCCCATGAAGAGCTTATGATTTAGTGGTGGGATGTGAAGGTCAGTATATAAATAGTTTTGATTCAGTGTAGATCATGATACATGAACATATTTGAGACACATAGCAGGAAGAGATTGGGGTCTTCGGGGAAAGTGGAATTAACATTTACTGAGTGTCTACAATGCACCTGGTGTATGTTTTCTCACTTTTCACAACAACTCTTCAGGGGCTTTTCACATGAGGAAAGAGATAAAATAATTTATCTAAGTCTACAGCTATGCCACCCTGAACAAGCTCTATCCCGTCTGATCTTGGAAGCTAAGCAGGGTCAGGCCTGGTTAGTACTTGGATGGGAGACCATCTAGGAAGACCAGGTGCTGTAGGCGTAAAAAATAAAAAATAAGGAATTGTAAGATGACAAGGTCCTTGCAATCTATGAGGTCAACCAAGGGTTGCCTCGCCTAAAAAATAAATAAATAATTTATCTAAGATTAAACCTAATTCTGTTATATTCCATATCTCATGCCTGTTCTGCTTGTCACGCTTCTTCTTGAAAATTGCTTCATTTAGAAAGTGTTAAATATTTATTAAATATGAAGGTGACACTGTAAAAGAATGATGACATGATACATTTTCATGGACTTGCTGTGCTGTTTTACATTGGAGTAATATCCTCCACTTCGAGATTCTTAGTGTACCATCCTCTGGCCTCAGTCCTCACCAGCCCTCAGATGTAATGACTATCCTGACTTTTGTGCTTTTATTTCTCTTGCTTTTATTTATATAGTTTTGCTTTATATGCACTAGAAAAGCAAAATAACATTTAATTTAGTTTTACCTCTTCTTGTCTTTTATATAAATGAAATCATTATGTATATTTTCTTATGTAAAACTTTCCTCATTCAATAGGACAATATGCTTAGAACATTCATTCATGTACGTGAGTGTTATTTTAACTCATTTATTTTCACTGTTCCATAGTGTTACAATTTATAAATATGCTATCATTGATTTACCAATTTTACTGTTGATGAACATTTAGGCTGCTTTCAGGATTTTGCTATTACAAACAATATTGTTCCGAGCATTCTTGTACCTGCCTCCTAAGCACATGTTCAAGATGTTCCCCAGGGTTGATATTTAGTAAATTTTCAACTTTACTGGATAATGCCACATTGTTTTCCAAAGTGGTTCTACCAACTTACACAACTTTCACCAGGAGATCAGTGTTCTGATTGTGCCAAATGCATACTGAGCCTTGATATTGTCAGACTATTTGATATTTGCCAATCTGGTGAGTATAAAATTGTATCTCATTATATTACTGATGTGAATTTCCATGTTTGCTAATGAGGTTGAGCATCTTTTCATGTGTTTATTAGACTTTTTTTTTCTTTTGTGAAGTGTCTATCAAGTATTTGACCTGTCTTAAAATTGGATTGTCTTTTATATTTATTGATTTTTAGTTCTTTTTCTATTCTAGATACTAATCTTCTGTCAGTTATAAAGGCAGTTAGAAAAGTAACATGGACTTTGGCAGATATAGGTCATGGATATGGCAAGGATGGCCCGCCCAGGTGAACTCTAGGGCCAGAAGACTGAGGGGAATGCTCAGGGAAACCACAGCTATTTGTAGAGGATGAGCAACTGTAAGTTAGTAATGGGAGGTAAATTTAGAAAGGTAAATTTGGTTTATTTTGTGAAAGATGTTGAGTAAATCAATTTTAGCTGATTGATGCCAGAACTTAGCCTAGAGACTCATGCTATATTCATTCTTTAGAAATGTTAGAAATAGAATGAATAACAATATGCTTCTCTCTCCTAATTCTGCACTGAAGAAAAGTATGTCAGTTTGTGATGAGTAAAATAATGACAACCAAAGATATCCACACCCTATCCCTCCACCCTTAACTTGTGAATATATTGCTTCACTTGGCAAAAGAGACTTTGCAGATGTAATTAAGGTTAAGAACTTTGAGATGGAGTATCCAGGTGTGTCCAATCTAATCATGAGAATCCTTAAAAGCAGAGACTCCTTCCTGTTGTGTCAAAGTCATGTGACCACAAACAACTGGTTGGGGAGATGCAACATTTCTGGCTTTGAAGACGAAGGAAGAGGGCCACAAACTAAAGAATATGAGATTCTCCTGTAGAGCCTCCAGAAAAGAAACACAGCTCTGGCAATACCTTAATTTTAGCCCAGTGAGACTGTTGACTTAAAGAACAGTAAAATAATTAATTTGTATTGTTTAAGCCGTTAAGTTTGTAGTAATTTATAATGGCAGCAATAGAAAACTAATAAAATGTACATATCTAAATTCAAAAAAACAAAAGCAAACTGTTTTTATTTGTTTTTTAAAGCTACCTTTGGGGAAGAAAGAGACTCGAAAAATTTAAAATCATGTTCCACTTCAAAGGCCTTGGGAGATACACGTTTGAAAAGCAAAGACATTGAGCTCATTTTCCTCCATCTGTGTATGAAGATGCAGGAAAAACTGTTAGTACATACACATATCTTGAATTCTCTTCCTACCAAACAAGTACCCATTACATTCTTTATTCTCTGAGTCCCCAAGTTCTCTGGTTCCCAAAGCATCAGCCCTAATGATGCTACCTCTGCACTTAAGTCTTACTCTGTTTGGCTTCCCAGATATCCCTCCAGGGAAGCCAAAGAGATTTCTATTAAACTTGAACATTCCATGTAGTTAAATTCATTAATAACCATTGGAAAAACCTGTACAGTAGGAATGAGGAAACTTTGGGTAAAAAAACCAATGCTTGATATTTGTGTGACTCAGGATAGCTTCTACTGTAGTTAAAACTTACTTAAGTATATAGTTAAAAAGTCAGAACTAAGCATTAAAAACATTAAAAAAAATAAGCAGTATGTCCTAAGATGGAGTACTTCTACAGAAGAAGGCCCATTTTTTTACAGACAAGATATAATTCTTTACTTATAATGTGAAAACATTCTTGCTTTATCTACCACATCTTCCCTACTTGCTCCCTGGACTCCAAGCTTTGAAAGACTGTAATAGCCTTTCATTATTTTGTGCCTTTGATTAGGCAATTTCCTCTTTAGTCTTCTTTGTTTGAATAAATCCTGTTTGTCCTTCTTTGACTATCTTAAGAATTGGTGTTCTTAGCTGTACTATTACCCTGAATTATAGATTTTTATGTACTCTTCTATTGGATTGAAATATTGTTGAAGAGTTTCAGGCTTTCCACTTTTGAATTCTACATGTCCTGCACAGTGTTACGGTATCATAATAGTTTAATTCTTGTCTGCCATCTAAAGCAAACACCCAATGATCTTACCTTTGCCGGTCAAATACCAGAGGATATTCATATTTTTGTTTCTTCTCTGTGAACTTGCTTTCTTCTTTTATTTCTATGGGATATTCATTAACATCACAAGGCAAAATGAAATCACTTGTCTGTGATATTTCAAAGAATCTTTGCTGTCCAAAATATCCACAGTAATGGCCATTCTGGGCATGCCAGAGCCTGAGGAAAGGCAAAGGTAGGGAGAATAAAGTAACAGGAATTCAGTGGAAGTTCTTTTGTTAATGATTAGCTTTTCACTGGTCCATCAGGGATAATAAACTTGAGTCTGGGACTCTTCCTATGGAGTTAATCATAACGTAAACATTTTATCCGTTACAATTCTAATGTACAACAATTTTGGGAAATGTCAATTTGAATTTGTACTTATGATATCCTTTCATTAAGCCAGAAAATAAAGAACAGATTTTTTTCCCCCAAATAACATAGCTCATTTAGTTAATTTAATTAAGTTAATCAGAATACATGTTGACTGACAGTATATTAGCTGAATTAGGTCTTAGAATGGGCTATATCTCAGCTGTCTACTTATTGTATCAACAACAGTAGAACTTATGGTAGGAGATACTTACTGATGCTTTTACTGTTATCAAAATCCTCAATCTCCATCTACAATTCCTACTATTGTGGAAATAATATACTAATTTTTAAAACTGAGTTCTGAAATAGGATGGTAAAAGAAGTGGCTCTTCATCTATATGCATTATTTTACCATCAATTCACTCCAGGGGGACCCTCTAAATAGCCCAAGTGGTTTAAAGTAATACAGAATTGTTATTAGCAGGAGTGTTTGCCTTATGTCATATGGAAAGATAAAATAGTATTTGGAAGATCCTCCTTTTATGTCTTGATTTCAACCTCAGAGTAGCAAATGGTGGAAATAATCATCATATGCCTGCTGCAATGACCCAGAGGGAGGATAAGCTAAATGAATTCAAAGCAGACTGCACAAAGTTCAAATGGTATCTCAGATCCAAGCAGTAGGCGCTGAAGAGAAGGCAGAGCAGAGGTATCCCATCGGGACTCCTCACATCTGACAGTGTTCTGAGAATGTAACATGAGCATCATACATCCCTTATATATTTGCATTCCCCAAAGGTCCCCAAGGCCATAAACGTCATGGCCTTGCCAGACCTGAAGCGAGATGGACCAATCTTTTCCACACAGAAGTTAGAGGGGTGAAGGACTAACTTCAGGACAACTTTAAGTTCATTCTATTGTAGGCAAGGACTGAAGTAACTTTAGTCTCCTTTTTTGGTGGCATTTCCTGTTCCACGTAGAATTCTCCCAGATCACCGATCCTACCTCTTAGCCTGATATGAACTTCCTGGGCCTCAGATATAAATTCTTAGCCCCTTCTATCCTCTGTCTCAGAGCTAAGCCATTATTTTTTTCATACTATAAAATCATAATTTTTGACAAATTTAGTGTTAAAATCACTTCTTCCTTTAGAAAGTGGCAGCTAGTATTAGCAAAAGAATGTGGCTTAGTTATAAAGAGAAGTGTATTCTGAGATAGCTATGAATAGAGCTAGGCTGTTTGAACTGAGTTTCTAGGAAGATCTTCACTTGAAGAAATCATAAAAGCAATTTCCTCATGTCAAGGGTTACTGGTTTGAGCAGGGGCTGCTTATAACAGAGGTGTGCACGCAAATGTGGTGTGTGTGTGTGTGTGTGTGTGTGTGTGTGTGTGTGTGTGTGTACTACAATCCCTAGTTAACACTTCTGAGGACAGGTAGCTGAAAATAAGTTGGAGCAGAGACCCAAGTGACAGAGTTGTGAAGAGCACCTATAATAATAAAATGTCATATTCTTAATTTTTCCTACTGATAAAATAGCAGATCCCCTTTTTGACAAAAGAAGCAGCTCTCTTTGCTCCAAATAGGACCTTAACCCCACAGATTCACTTTGAACTGAACATTTCTGAAAGTTCTTCTTCATTCATCCATGTTCTAAACATTTTTCTCTTTTAGTGACTCCTCTCTTAATGAATGGCACCAATATTCACCTAATGGTATATGCCAGAAGTCATTCTTTTTTTAAAATACCTTTTATTTTTCAATTACACTTGATATACAATATTATATTAGTTTCAAGTGCACAACATAGTGGTTAGATATTCATATAACTTATGAAGTGATCATCCCAATAAATCCAGTACTGATCTACACCATGCAGTTATTACAATCTTGTTGACTATATTCCCTGTGCTGTACTTTACATCCCCATGACTACTTCTTAACTACCAATTTGTACTTCATAATCCCTTCCCCTTTTTCACTCTACCCTTCAACCCCCTTCCCATCTGACAACCATCAAAATATTCTCAGTATCTATGAGTTTGTTTCTGTTTTGTTTGTTTGTTTCTTTCATTTTTTTGATTCTACATATAAGTGAAGTCATATGGTATTTGTTTTTCTCTGACTTCTATCACTTAGCATAATATCCTCTAGGTCCATCCATGTTGGAGATGACAAGATTTTATTCTTTTTTATGTCTGAGTAATATTTCATTGTATATATGTACCTATCTTTTTATATATCCACCTATTGATAAACTCTTAGATTGCTTCCATATCTTGGCTATTGTAAATAATGCTATAATAAACATATGAAGAATGCATATCTCTTTTTAAATTAGTGTTTTGAGTTTCTTTGGATAAGTACCAATAAGTGGAATTCCTGGGTCCTTCTTTGTTTCTTGTTATAGCCTTTGCTTAAAAGTCTATTTTGTCTGGAATAATGCAGGTCTTGTGATTACATTCCCTTAGCTTTGTTTTGTTTGGGAAAGTCTTTATTTCTCTTTCTTATCTGAAGGATACCTTTGCTGGATATGTTATTATTGACTAGTGGGTTTTTTCTTTCAAATGTATCGTTTTATTTTCTCCTGGCCTGAGAAGTTTCTGCTGAGAAATCTCGTGATAACCTCATGAGGTTTCCTTTGTAGCTTATTATCCCCCCTCACCTTGACAGCCTTGAGAATTCTTTCTTTATCATTAACTTTTGGCAATTTTAATATAATATGTCTTTGAAAAGTCTTCTTTCTTAGAGGTAATTAGGTGTTCCATTATCTTTTAGTACTTGAATGTCCAGTTCATTCCCTAGATATGGGTTTCTAATCATTTTTTAAATAGGCTCTCTGTTCCCACTCTCTCTTCTTCTTCTGGGGTATACATTATCCTCATGTTGCTCTTTCTAATGGAGTTAGATTGTTTTTGTAGAGTTCTTTCACTTCTCTACAATCTTAGTTCTCACTCCTCTCCCACCTGAATTATTTCTAGATTTCTACCCTTCTAGCTCAGTAATTCTCTCGTCCATGTGATCTGCTTTATTTCCAGTGCTTTCTAATGCATTATTCATCTCATTTATTGAGTTCTTCAGCTACAGGATATTTTTTTTAAGTTTCAATGTCTTTGGTAAAATGCTTTTTGTTCATTAATTTGATTCCTGAGCTCATTGAACTGCCTGTATGCATTTTCTTGTATCTTGTGGAGTTTCTTCTTGACTGCTATTTTTAACTCTCTATCATTTAGATAACATATGTCTATAACTTTGAGTTTGGTTTCTGGAGAATTATCATTTTCTTTCTGTGTTACCATGTTACCTTGGTTGTTTGTGATGCTTGATGGATTGTACCTCTGCTGGCACATTTGAAGTAGCAAATGCTTTTCTTAATTAGGAACCATTTGATTTTAACAATTCAACAGGTTTATATTTAGAGGTCTTTCCTTTGTTTTCCATTTGATGTTGCTCTACTGCAAGTTTTTGTTTTCTCTTATCTGTGCTACTGTGGAGTTGTGGTGGAGAATCATTGCTATGGGTGTTTATTGTGGTGGGGAATCACTGCTGTGGGTGTTTATCGTGGTGGGGAATCACTGCTGTGGGTGTTTATCGTGGTGGGGAATCATTTCTGTGGGTGTTTATCGTGGTGGGGAATCATTGCTGTCCTCATGGGAGTTATTGCTGTGGTGGGGGTTGTGGTTGGGAATCATGACAGTCATCATTTACTGAGGTGGGTGCCTCAGCTGTGTCCATGTCACTTGATTTTGAGGCAACACCACTATGGTGTGGGGATGTGGCAGGTTGGGGGGATCCAGGTTTGTGAGACTGCCTGGTGCTACCTGGTTCCCTATGGTCACTGGTGCCCATTGATGCCACTGGCCTCCACCGAAATCTGGGGAGGGAGCCAGATTCTGGGGCACTGACACTGCTGCTGCCCCTCTTACCCTCTGTAGGTCATGATGAGGGGCCCTCATGCTGACTCCTCTGCTGTTACTATATTTGCTGTGTCTAGGAGCTCAGCTGCAGTGGCCAGAAAACTACATCTGTGGGCATCATCCCTGTCCTTCCCCCTGTCCTGCCTCTTCTACACATTTCAGTATGCCTAACCTTCTGATGTACCAATGTATGGATCTCTCAGGCATCCTAATGTGTTAAGCAGAGGAATCCATGTAAGGTTTTAGATGTCCAATTAGCTGTAGATTTACAGGGCGATATGAAGGAGTTGTCTCACTCTGGCATGATGAGGTCACTCTCTCCTAATTTATTTTTTTTAATGTTGCTCAAATTATGTTAGTCACTCACTTAAAAGCCTTTGGTGGCTATTTCTTACAAGGTGAAGATCCAGATCTTGAGTCACACCTCCTGGTTACTGCATGGCCTGTCCCTGGCTAAGTCACCACCAGTCTGACACTCACACAGCTAGCTATGGTCTGTTGCATTTCAGTCCAGGGCCTTTTATGCAACATAAAATATTTTTTCTTTTTCATCTTTATTATTCTCAAACTCTCTAACACACTTTGGAGCCTCTCTGCTTCTCTTGATCTTACCTAGCTTTAGTTCCATAAGAGGACAATTTATTACCATGATTTTAAGACATTTTAATATGCAGCAATTTGTCTCAATAAATGTCATAACATTTCTTTTCATATATATATATATATACACACACACACATATATATACATACATATATATATGGTTTTAGCATTTTGTGTATGTATACTTAGCATTATATAGGCCATTAAAAATGAGTAGGCTTTGTATAACATGGTGATTATAGTTAATAACACTATATCGCATATTTAAAAGTTGCTAAGAGAATAGATCTTCAAAGTCCTCCTCACAAGAAAAAAATTTTTTGTAACTACGTGTGGTGATAAATGTTAACTAGACTTTTGTGGTGGTCATTTCACAATATATACAAATATCGAACGATTATGTTATACACCTGAAACTAATGTAATGTTATATGTCAATTATACCTCAATGAGGAAAAAAAAAAAAAGCTAATCCTGAAGGGAGGCTCTCTAAGAGAATGTAATTGGCCACACTCCTCATGTAAATCATCTCGGTTTTCTCCAATTGCAACACTGTGCTAACCCCTCTAAATCAGTTGAGGCAGCCATGGAAGAAAAAAAAAGCAAGTAGGCTTTATAAAATCAATCACATTGTCACTGAAATAATTAGCTCACTTTAACTTTTCTCAATATTAGTTTTTCTTTTCTGTAACTTTTTATAACTTCTGATCCTGTGTCTCTTTTTGCGGTCTTCCCTGGGCGTGGGCCTCTTGCTCTGACCTAACTATCTTGCTTAATTCTTTGAAATAAGTCTACAAAAAACACGTTTGTTGAAAGTATTTATTATACCTTCTAACATAGATGAGAATGGCTTCTCGTTTCCTTGTGCATGGAAAAGAATTCCAAATCAGTGGCCAACTGTTCAAAGCCTTTTTGTGCCACCTTTACTTGTTGATTTATTTTTGTCAGCTAATCAACATTGCATCTAGTGCGTATACTTAAACTTTAGCTTAACAGTCTTTCCTCTCATACTCAAACTCCAAATTCGCGATACGAAAGTCAGTACCTTACTGAGCCATCGATGGAGGCAGTAAGCACCACTTGTTTTTCTTCTACATAGATTACTTGAATAATTTCTAAAGAATGAGCACGCCAGGCAAGCAGCTGCTTGAATTTCTAAATGGCAAAAATAATGCGTATATGTTAGAATAAGTGTGTGCTGATCAAAATTCAACCTTGAGCAAAACCATTAATCATTAAAGGACCCATCTTATGAGTGACTGGTGTGACCATCTGTGGAAGATGATGAAGTCCTTACCTCAATTAGCTCTTCTCTTACTTGTTAAGCTACCAAAAATTCCATTTTTAGATATTCGTTAATATCCTTGGGCGAGGAAGTATCTTATGTCTTTAGCAATTTATCATTTATTTGATGAGAAGCAGTTCATTTCATCGAGATTACTAACTGACTAGGTGAAAGAATAGCCTTAGGATAACGGTTGTGGGAGAACCGAGAGTGAATTTAATTAGAAACAGGAAGAAGCAGAGTAGACACTAAAGGGGAGATTGGCAAGAAGTCTTTTCCTAATTTCAAATTTTATTCAGATATAGCTCTCATTATTTTATTCTTTTTTGGGGGGTGGGAGTATATGATAACTACATACCACAAAGAATTAATGAAAGAAATGGGCCCAGCTCATTCTCTTTCAAAGACATAATGAGGCTTGATTAGTATGCTCCTTCAGGATGTGGCTTATTCTTAAGTTTAGAGCCCCTAAAGAGGCCTCAGAAGTTATTTCTAAATTTTATAAACAAGGGTTGTCAACTGAGATCTTGCTCTGCAGTCACATCCCCTTAGAGTATGTTCCCTTTACCACTGATGAACACAGACTAAGACCTTACTTCTTCCTGGGTCATTTGCCTAGGAGCATTTGTGTGGCTAGAATTCTGATAGCTTACAGTTCTCCTTTAAGGCTCCTGTTTATCTAGACTTTAACAAAGATTAGTCACAATTACCCCTAAATTTTTTGGCCTTCTGATTCAATTCCCAGGATGAAATCTTCTGCATTCTCCTACCTCTTATGGTCTCTAAGCTGTTCAAGAAAATCTGGTCTTCCAAGGGCTCGATCTCTGCCTTGGTAGACAAGCATTTCCCTAATATGACCATATCTATAGTAAGAATTACATTTTACTTCATGACCCCGTAAAGACACACAATACCTGTACATGCATCTGAAATGAGTTTCAGTATCCTTCACAAAAGAATACTTAACCTTACTGTGTATAACACACACTGATATTATTTATTCTATTCCACCGTATTTAATTTCACTCCATTCTTTTCCATTTTTATGAAAATACTGCTTGACACTCATTAGATTGATTTTATAACCCCCTAGTGGATTACAATCTGTAATTAGAAAAACACTGCTCCGTTTGTTTGTTTGTTTGTTTGTTTGTTTTCTGAATGCATATGTATGCAATCATATGCATGATTTTTCTTTCTGGGCCAAGTTTTGACTATCCTACTTCATAGAATATCTGTACTCTACAGAGTTTCTTTTTTAAGAGTAATGTTGCAAGAGAACCAGATTAACCTCTGACTTATGGAATGACATATTAGATTTCATCATAATTGTAATCTATAACTGAATCTGGCTTAATGCATCATATATATTAGTCTATGCAATAATGAGACATCTTATAACCAGATTCTGTTGTATATTTATAAATAAGCAGCTATGTACAAATTGGAAAATCATATTCTCCAAATATAGAAAAGGTTGACTGAAGAAAAATTTAATAAGTTACTAAAATAGAGTCTCTTCTTTTAAGTTGGTAAAAATGCTTTAAAATAAATTCTATTATTGTAATTCAATATAATTATTTAACTTTGTTTCAAATATTCCTTTGAATTTTGAAAGATCTTGGTTGCCAGTTTATAGAAAGTCCATTTGCAAAAATCATATTTTTATCTGTTAAAATTAATAGTAGAATATTGAGAATCATCACAAGTAGAAGGAAACAATTAGATAATCTTCTCTTTACACATGATTTAAGCATATCATTGCTTTTGTTCAGCTCGCAGCATGCCTTAATTATAGGACATTTATAGTTGTTGATAAATGAAATGTGCTTTATAAACTGAACCTTATTGTTTTTCATTTGATAGCAGTACATGTTATATATAAAAAATACACTTGATTAGAGGGCAAGAATCCTGGTTCTGACCCTGACTTCATCATTAACTGTCTTTGTGATCCTAGGCAAGCCACTCTGAGTTCCCCTCTGTAAAGTGTATGTATATAATAATACTAAAGCTAAATAGCTGAACTTTATAAAAAGTATAATAGATTCTTTGAAACAAAAAGAAACAAAAAGAATACTTAACCTTACTGTGTATAACACACACTGATATTATTTGTTTTATTCCACCATATTTAATTTCACTCTATTCTTTTCCATTTTTATGAAAATACTGCTTGACACTCATTAGATTGATTTTATAACCCCCTAGTGGATTACAGTCTGTAATTAGAAAAACACTGCTCGGTTTTTGTTTTTTTTTTTCTGTATGCATGTGTATGCAACCATATGTATGATTTTTCTTTCTGGGCCAAGTTTTGACTATCCTACTTCATAGAATATCTGTACTTTAGGATCTTGCAATATTTTAGAATGGTTATTGTTTCAAACATTATTTCATTTTATTTATGAAAATAAAATACTGCAAGATTGGAATATTCATATGTTATATACGGATATTTAAATATTTAAATTTTTAAATTTTTAAATTTATAAAATATTTAAATTTAAATATCCATATGTTAACACCTATAATTCAAAAATAAAACATTATTATTTGAGCTAACATTTAGCTTTTGGATTTGAAGTATTAACTTACAGGTAAATAAGCTGTGCTAACATAATGCTTTCTTGCTATATTCTTTAATTAGTGTTGAGCCTTTATACACATATATACCACATGTATATATTTGTCTATATGTATATATATACATCCACATATACACAAGAAGTACATAGATAAATAGTTATAAAATAAGGAGATGATGGTGACATTTATAGTTCATTAACACTAAAAATAGAATAACATGTTTGAATTATATGGAAGATTGAGACTAGATGTGAGAAAGAGTTTCTTGAAAATAATAATGGTTGAGCATTGGGCACGAGGTTAAGCTTGCAAGGAAAGGTTATGGAATTTTCTTCTATGAAGATGTATAAAATATAGAAACTGACTGTGGAGGACTAGATAATGTATGAATTCTTTTTAGCTCTGGGTTTCTGCATAGATTCTCACAAATAAGTCAAACGTGAAGTAGATGTAAAGTGACCACCGGCTGGCTCACTCAATCATTCATCCACTCTTTTCACCAGTAGATCATTGTTATTTGTCTTATAGCTTAAGTTTCAATAGTCGTATATATGACTTAAGAGTTGGGAGTCTTGTATTTCTATCTTTTGTGGTGTCTAGCACAGAGAAATGCTGAATAAATATGTGGTGATTCACTAGTTAAACCAAAACTAAAGTTCTTACCTTTTCATCATGAGGTGGATCCAGGAAGGAACCAATACTGGAAAGGATAATGTGTCCTTCTGTATAAAATTTAAATATTAGAATCTTTTAATTAGATATTCTGTTGTCTAAGTAAATACTACCCAAACTACCAAGTGATTTTGATGCAGGCATTTATAAGGGTAAATAAAATAGAATTTGAGAAATCAGAAATGAAAGAAAAAATTTTATATATCAATTTTTATATGTAGCAATTATTTTTTGTTTCTGGCTTAATAAGTCATAATGAGGTTGCCTTATACACTCAGAGTCAAAGTTCTTTTACACATCAGGGTGGATGAAACAGAAATGAATATATGACAACTAAACAAAGCTCTAAATATTGTGGAGATAATCACCTTACAATCCAAATCGTAGTCACAATGACTAGATTTAAAAAAGCAACAAAGACTACACCGAGGCATACCATATTTAAACTGTAGAAAATCAAATATAAAGAAGCCGGGGATGGAGGGAATCACCCTACTTATAGAGGAGCAAAGATAAGAATTGCATTTGACTTCTCCTCAGAAACAATGCAAACAAGAAGAGAATGGAGTGAAATAATTAAAATGTTGAGAAAAAATCCTACTATTCTGTATCCTTAGAAATTATTACAAATGTCTAACCAATGTACTGTATACTTGAAACTAACAATAAAATAAAATTTTAAAAATGTGAAAGAGAAATAAAGACTTTCTCAAACAAAAATTGACAGAATTTGTTGCCAGTAGACCTGTCTTGCAAGGTAATTTCTTAAAAAGTTCTTAAGAAAGAAAATGATATGGGGCAGAAACTCAGATTTACAAAAAGAAAGGAAGAGCATAAGAGAAGAAATGAGTGAAGATAACACAAAGAAGAACAGATAATAGTTTATTCAAAATAGCAGCAACAATGGATTTAATTATTATTATTTATGAATATTTGAAATGAATGACAACCATAGCATAAAGGATGAGAGGGTGGAATTAGGAATATTTAGTTGTTATAAGGTACTTGCACTACCTGTGAAGTGGTATAGTGTTATTTGAAGTGGACATTAGATGTTAATATAAATAGCAAACTCTGGAGAAATCACTAAAAGAAGTTTTAAAAAAGTATAATTGATATGCTAAGAATGCAGAGAAATGGAATCATATAAAATGCTCACTTAAAACCACAAAATGTAGAAAAAGAGTGGAAGACAAAAACAGAAAAGAAAAAAAGGTCAACAAACAGAAAACAGTAAGAAATATGGTAGATATTAATTCAATTGTATTGATAATCACTTTAGAGGTCATTAGTCTAAATAGACCAATTAAATGACAGAGACTGTCAGTATGGATTCAAAAAATATTCAACTCGATGTTGTCTACAAGAAACCCACTTTAAATACAAAGACATATATAGATTAAAACTAAAGAGATAAAGATTTACATGCTAACACTAATCAAAAGAAAGCAGGACTAACTATCTTAATTTCAAATAGAGAATATTTCAGGACAAGGAAAATCATCAGGAATAAAGAGGGGCATTACACAATGTTAAAGAGGACAATTCTCCTAGAAGACATACTGGTCCTTAACATGTCTATGCCTAGTCTCAGCACATCAAGATACCTGAGGTAAAAACTATTAGATCTGCAAGGAGAAATAGATGAATCTACTTTTATAGCTGGAGACTTCAACACCCCTGTATCAGAACTGGACAGACCTAGCCAGAAGAAAATCAGTAAAGATGTAGTTGAACTCAATAGTACCACCAATCACTTTGATATAATTGGCATCTATAGACTACTTTATCCAACAACTGCAGAATATACAATTTTTTCAAGCTCTTATACAATATTCATCAAGATAGACCACATTCTGAGCCATAAATTATAGCTTAACAAATTTAAAATAAAAGAAATTATAAAATTTATGTTCTCAATATAGGAAAAGGAACAATGGAGTTAAATTAGAAATCAATAATAAAAACTTAACTTGAAAATCTCAAGATACTTGGAGATTAATCAACATACTTCTAAATAATAGGTCAAAAAGAAATCTCAAGAGAAATTTAGAATATTTAAAATTAAAAACTTCTGATGTACAAAAGACACTGAGAATAAGCAGACAAGCCATAGAATGTGAGAAAATACTTGCAAAAGACATCTGTTAAAGGACTGTTATCCAAATATACAAAGAACTTTTAAAACTCAACTATAAGAAAATGAGTTTATTAAATAATGAGCAAAGGATCTGAGCAGAAACTTTACCAAAGAAGGTACACAGATGATAATAAGCATATGAAAAGATGCTCCACATCTTATGTCATTAGAGAAATGCAAATTAACACCACAGTAAGATACTACCAGTATACACCTATTAGAATGGCCAAAATCTAAAACACTGAGAACATCAAATGCCAGTAAGGATGTGGAGCATTAAGAACTGTCATTCATTGTTGGTAGAAATGGATAATGATACGGCCACTTAGGAAGACAGTTTGGCAGTTTCTCACGAAACTACACATACTCTTATCCTATGATTTAGCAATTACTGTCTTTAGTATTTACCCAAAAGAGTTGAAAACTTACATTCACACAAAAACCTGTGTGTGTTTATAAAGGCTTTATTTATTCTTGCCAAAATTTGAAAGCAAACAAGGTGGCCTTTAATAAGTGAATGGATAAACACACTGTGGTAAATCCAGACAATGGAACATTATTTAGCTCTGAAAAGAAATGAGCTAACAAGCCATGAAAAGACATGGAGGAATCTTAAGTGCATATTACCAAGAGAAGGAAGCCAATACAAAAAGGGTATATACTGTATGATTCCAATCATACGACATTCTAGAAATGGTGAAGATAGTAAAAGAGCAATGATTGCTAGGGGTTAGTGGGGAGGGAGGATGAATAGGCTGAGCACAGAGGATTTTTAAGGTATTAAACTATCCTATGATACTGTAATGGTAGATACATGTCAGCATACATTTATTAAGAACGATAGAATGTACAATTCCAAGAGTGAACCCTGAAGTAAACTATTGACTTTGGGTTACAATGACATGTCAATGTAGGTTCATTGATTGTAACTAATGTACCACTCTGGTGCAGGATGTTGTGTGTGGGGTGGTATGGGCATGGTGTATATGGAAAGTCTCTGTAATTTCTGCTCAATTTTTCCACAACTCTAAAACTAATCTAAAAAATAAAGCCTGTTTAACAACAAAAAAGCAATAACAAATGATATCTGAGGATGCCTGATTTAAATAGTGACTAAATACCAACCTCATAGAATGTTTTTTAAAAACATCTACTGAAGCGCAGAAAAAGGAAGTCAAAGGCTGAAATCTAGAAGAAGCTTCTTTTATTTATAATATAGATGAGGCTAGATTGGATCTCAAATTGCCCCTGCTCTATTTTTCTATATCACAGCAAAAACTACAAATCTTAAGAAGTAGATCAATTATATAACAGTAAAATGTTCTGGGCAGAGGCAAAGAGAGATAATCCCAACAGAAGGGCATTCTGGGAATTCTCTGTACAGTTTCAAATTTCAGTTCTCCGCATTCTGTTAGAAAGGCTTACCCCATACTAGGTAAAGTTACAGCAAAAATATGCAAGCTATTTTAACAAAATTTGCATGATCTTAGATTTCTCTACTATTCTGCCATAAACAGAAACGATATTTATAGAAACTGTGGAGACTGACAGATAAGTAAAAGTAAGAAGTCAAGAATAAGAATATCAGAGTATAAAAGGACTGGTGGTGGGCAATAAAACTAGATAAAATAAAGATAACCTTAAATAAATGTTGTAAATTCACTGATAATACTGAATGTAAATACAAACAATTATTTTCTATAATCTCCAGAAGACTCAAATAATTGTTGGTAAAACATGATTTATTGTAAATTTTGTAAAAAAAAAAAACTTTTGAAATAAAAATAATGTTCTTAAAAGAGAAGATGTAGAATTTAATTATTAACGTACTAGCAGTACCTGGATACACATCTCAAGATTACATTAGCAAATGATAAGTGAAAGGGTGGGTGTAGAAAACAAAAAGAAAGGTAAAGTGGGTTGTTTTCTGTTTAACTGAAAAGATGCTGTTTCTGTCTAAATTCTAACAAATTGGATTTTTTTCAAACCAAAGGTAAACACTAGTAAAATTAAAAATTGCATTTACACACGCACGTGCATTCATACACATAATCTTTAAAAGTATGAGATGAAAAGAGAAATTTATGTTTAATTCAAAAGATAGAAGAAATGAAGTAGGAAGCATCAAAAGAGAAAGAATAGTGTTACATGAAAGAAGACCAAATATATTAGTTATAAGAATAAATATAAAATAAAGTCCCCTATTGGGAACAAATGATCCCTTTCTTTGCTAGTTTATTTCACTATTCCCTTTAACAATGAAAATTAATGCCACATAACCCTTTCAAGATTAAAAATGAAAAGTTTACATTCTTTCCAATTTGCAAGGTAAAATATGAACAGATCTGTACCCAATTTAAGGCTGGAAAAGATAGAATTCTTGCTTTAAGGAAAGAGCTAGGAATTAAATAGGTTCTTCTGATATTCGTTCATTGTTCTATTTATTCAGTGAGCTATTCATAACACTCTCTAGTGTTTGAGGATCTCTCTTATTCTTTTGTATTAATAAATGCCATGTATTTTCCTACATCCATTTTTACACCATGTAAGTTACAACAGCCGTGGCCGACTACCTGAGGATAATGATGACTTACCCACATTTCCCGTCAGTAGAATCCTGGCACAGGAGTCAACATGCAGAGATGTCAGAGAAATGGCAGAATGCTTTGTAAAAGGTAGCATATCTTTCAGTAGTCTTCCCTGAATAAATTATGATAATAAACTCTATAAAATATTCATATTGGAATTGAGATTCTCTATAAATAATCTAAAGAATTATCTCTACTACTAAAACATGATTCTCTTCTTTGTAATAAAAATAATTTGAAACAATCTATATGAATTTCTTTTCCTGAATTAAATATTCATAAAGGTGTAGGCAACTATTAAGGATAAACATCTAGACTCTAATGATTACAGATCATCCCTACACTTGGTGTTTTGTTGGTTTTTTTTTTTTGTACTTCTCATGACCCGTTCATGAAATTCCTTCTATTTCTTTTCCAGTTATATATCCTCCTTTTAAACAAACATTCTGTTCAGGTTTAAGTGTATCTCACTTGTTTTAAATAGGAATGTAGCATTTGCCTTTTTAAAAATATCTGGTTTTAAATACTGGTGCAAGATTAGAGATCGTAGGAGATTCAAATTTAGCAAATTGCTTTTCAGTGCTTAATATGTCACCTCTGGGAAGGACTCCCACAGGCATTGCCTGTCTCAGAGAACGAACATCCAAGCTTGAGAAGAAAGAATTTGAATCTGCTACTCATTTCCTGAGATTTACTTGCATATAATCTTTTCTCTTCCTATCTCAGTCTTTTATCTCTCTATCAGAAAAAAAGGCATTGTTCCAATACCAAGATCATCTCAGGGAACATTATTGTTACAGTATTTTATATTTTTCAACTAAGAGTTTTCCTCTAATAAGCTATGATCCACTGATAGACCTGGAGGTTTTACCTAGCAGACAGCCATCGTGCTCTGTTGTTGGATCCCACCATCTAGCATACAAAACTGTTGCTACTTTCTGCGTTTCCCTCCAGAAAGGAGCCTTACAAGTGACACCACCTCCTTTGCTTCACAAAGGATTTCATCGTCATCATCACCAATCTACTCAAGATCCTTCTTTCCATCATCTTCTAAACTCCCAATTCAAACTCCACCCAAGTTCCACCCCAAGTTCCACCCCAAGTTATTCTGGTAACTGAAAGTTATATTTTCACTGTAAAATGTTTAAGGACACTCATCACAATGTAATAACTTCTTCTCATAGTTTGGATAACTAAAAATTCATGTGTACTTAATTTTTCAGTGTTATATTATGTTACTATAATGCATCATTAATATCCTTTAATATTTGTCCAATAAAATATTTAGTGGCATGTACCATAGCTCAATTTAAAGAAAAGAAAGATATGAAATAGTTAACTTTGCAATTTTGATGATTTGATCTTTTGAGCTACAAAACCGGCCTACTGTGAAGTTTGACTAGCATTTTCAGTGAGCAAGCTACAGAACCAACAATTTGGCTAGAAGGTTTCAACATACTAAAATTGGATGCTATATGGAACTTTAAAAGGTTAAGTTTCATTTAATAATCCTTTTTCTCTTTCCCACCCTTTGCTACTACAGGTTAGTAACGGGCCTTATCACCTCGATAGTCCACAAGCGGAGGTGTCCATCTTCATGTGCGGTGGCAAGGATAGGTGGCTGGGTATCTGTTAGGTTGGTGTCTTCAGGAAACCTTTTGCTCACTGGCTGTTGCTCTCCCATCATGGCATCTATTTGCTCACCCGTTGGAAAATTAATGAGCTACCACGGTCTTTGTAATACTTGAAATTTGAAATTTTATAGAATGCAAAGGAGGAGGGAGGTAGGAAAACAGCAAAAACCATACAATCTTTTTCCTAGAATTTTTTAAAATCTCAGAGCATTTCAGTCTGGGCAGAGAATAAAACAAGCATTAACAAGAAGAATCTCATATCACTGGAGAAATCTAAAGAGCTTATTTTCATTCCTGTTGAAAGCCTCTGCACTATACATAACAGCTGAAACTATATATACAACTAGTTTAAGTCTTACACATACAGAATAGCTTATGAATTTAGTATGAATTTTGGGAAAATAGGCTGGAGATTAAGAAGCTCAATAATATTTTGGATTTTTAAAATCTAGAATTAGTTTTTAAAAAGGCATCATCA